TTTAATTATTTATCAATTACATAAACATTACATCATTAATTATTTAATTAACCAAAAAATTACACCTTTATTAATAACAAATTATTTCTTAAACAAAATTATTAAATATAAACTAAGCAAACGTGCATTGCACGTTGCTTACACCTAGTATATATATATGAACGCATATCAACATTCTAATCCTAATTTTCTCTTGACGCAATTAAGAATATCCTATAAAAGATATTAAAAGTTTGTCGAAATTTCTAAAGTAGGAGAGAAAATCATGACAACAATATTACCCTTAGGGTGTGTTTGATTACTTTATTTTTCATGTAAACTGTCATTTCTCATCCAAATTTCTACTTAAAGTATTTGATTTGACATTTTTTCATGTAGATATTTTCCAAAAGTAGACCACATGACCATATTTTCCTTAAAAATAAGGAAAACATTTTCTATAGGGAGGGGTAGATTTTTATTTTTCAAGTAACTCTCTCTCTCTCTCTCTCTCCACTCTATGTCATACACTCACCAATAAAATATGGACAAATATAATATTTTCTATATTTAAAATTAAACTAATCAAATACATTTAATTAATAATTTTCATACAAATAAGTTCTAGCAATTCAATGACCTAGAACTTATTTTCTTTCCATACAAATTACATATTTACAATCAAACATACACTTAATATAATTCAAACTTCGAAATAACCAATTTAACTAAAATAATTCCAGATTTTCAATAAGATATGAAAAGAATATTAAAGAATTTGCTCAAAATCACTAAGACTTGGGAGTTCTGTCTACAATTCATTCTTTTGAAATTAGAAATTGGTTTCATAATTGCTATGACAATTCTTAATTCTTACACTAGTATTTAAAAAAAAAATATCTGGGACTAATTATTGTCAATATCATATATAAGTTATTTATTTGATCAAACATGCTTTTTTATTATTATTATTTTATTTTAGGAACCAAACGTTATTTAAAATTTACTTTTAAATTTAATTAACAAAATTTACCTTCCGGTAATACGTTAACTTATTTTTTTTAAAAGTATATCTAAACACAACCAAGTTGAGTGTTCGGAATAGCTTAGATTATAATTTAAGCTATAGTCACGGAGGAGATTTTGTGGGTAATTGTTGAAAGTTGTACATTTACAGAATGTGTGGATAAAAATGATAGTGTTTATCGACTTAAAATATAATGTAAGTTGTGTAAAACATACACTAACTAATCTGATCATATTAGGTTATTAATGATGATATATTTTGGTATTATCATCTCTTGCTTATAAACTTAACTTTCACCATACAACTGCCATTAGTTGTAATTAGATGGAAGCGCACTACAACAAACTGTTTTATCATAGTACTATTCTTGATTTTTAAGTTCTACTCACATATATTGAAGACAATATTAAAATATATAAATCGAGAGTTAAGCTTTTATGCGAAATGCTGGTTCAACATAGACAAATGTCCTAAATTCAAATTTTAGTATCATTCTTCTATGAAAAATTGTGCGCTCCTTGCCATGAATTTCATGGGAGATATAAATCCTTCATTCACGTGAACATGGGTGGATCTATAGTGGGGGCAGTTGGGCTACCTGCCCCCACACTAAATTTTAATAATTTTCAATTTTACCTCACAATTAAAATTTTGTGAAATTTGTCCTTACAAGTCTAAAATTCTAACTTCGCCCCTACACGTGAAGAACATATAGCGGGAGTGCGTCATGAATTTGATGGGAGAAATAAATCCCACATTCAAGTGAAAGACGTATGGCGAAAATTTAAATAAATAAATTTGTCTGATCTTTAATTACAAAATATTTTAGTTACGAAAGCCAAAATAGGGGAAAAGAATATTTGTAGAAGACTTAGAGCTGTAAAGAATGCTTGAAAAATGAAGACTTCAGTAAAGCAAGCTTAGGAAGGATAAGGGCTCCTCTTTTTGTCAGCTTGTCACTTTTCTTACACTTTCTGGGATAATTAGAACATTTTGGAAAAGCCTCTCAGACGCAAAACCTTTAAAGGTTAATGTATGCCGAAAGATTGGAATATATATTTCTCCTTCATAGGATGATATTGAAATTTAAACACAACAACGAACATTCACGTCAATCTGCTAAGTCCTAACAGTGGATCCTAAATTTATTGAGAATGAAGTTAATTTATCATTATCATTAGTTTGACACGTGGAAGCTTGATATGAGTAGGTTGAAGCATGATTACAATTTGTTGATCACTAGTTTCATGTCTCTTGATGGTACTCTAAGCAAACCTATATATAAATTATTTAGATAGATATATATTTGAGATTCTAACAGCCTGATATTCCTTTGCTTCCTATTAAAGATATTCTTGCTTAAACAAAACTCTTACTGGTTCTCTTCACATTCACAACCCCTAACCATGCAAAAACTATATGTAGCCTCCCTCAATGCTCTGATAAACCCACATTTTTCTCATTAGAGAAACACATGAAGAACTTATCTAGATTTACAGTCTTTATTGGAATTTTCTCCATTAGTTTGATTCAATGTTCACTAGCTTCTGTTGTGTCGACCGGAGATTTTAACAAGGATTTCTTCGTGACATGGTCTCCTAGCCATGTAAATACATCTGCAGATGGTGGAACTAGAAGCTTAAAACTTGACAAGAATTCAGGTCAGTACATGAAGAAGTACAGGTTAAGAAATTTTGTTTAGTTATACATACATACATACATACATACATACATACATATATGCTTGCTCAAGAATGCCTAAAGTTGAACCAACTCATTTAAAGCCTTAATTTGTTAGACAGTGTTGTACGTATGATTTACAACGTACAATATTGTTTACAATATTATCGCGCTATACCAACTTGTCTACTAAGAATTTCAAAAGATCCAAAAGGAAAAGAATATTTATTTTAGATTTTATTTTCAAGATATTCAAATTTTCTTTACAATTTTCTCCAGGTTCTGGTTTTGCTTCAAATGACATGTTCTTGTTCGGCCAGTTCGACATGAAAATTAAACTGATACCAGATAACTCAGTCGGCACTGTTGTGGCCTTCTATGTAAGTTCAAAGACGATACACACTAAGTGTATTACTAGACTGTACAATGTAAAAAAAATTAGTGGTTAGTGGTATAATAAAATGTTGTTGTGAATATGCAGCTCACATCGGGTCAACCAAATCGTGATGAAGTTGATTTCGAATTCCTGGGAAATGTACCTGGACAACCTTATATTCTTCAAACAAATGTTTATGTGGATGGACATGATGACAGAGAGCAGAGAATTAAACTGTGGTTTGATCCCACTAAGGACTTCCATACCTATTCTATACTATGGAACCTCCACCAGATTGTGTAAGTCCATCTCTAATTAACAATATGATCAAACTTTTAGTAGTTCATGATGTTTCATGTTGAACCAAAAGATGAATTTATTGATTTATATCTCATCTCCAACATGCTCCTTTCAGACTGCATTGTTTTTACCCATCAAATGCCAGACATATATGTGCACAATTTTTATAAATGAGGAACAATGAAACTAGAAATAGGACCTTGATGATGATGTTAAAATTGCCATGTATTCAAGTCTTGCCCGCACATATTTACATGTTGGGTCAAGCATCAATCAAAAGGATCGGCCCTATCCGTTCGACGCTTCTAATTACGAAGCCTTGCAGAAATTGGATTTCTTGCAATGCAAGGAAAAAAAAAAAAACTTTTCTAAAACTTCTTATTTCTTGCAGATTTATGGTGGACTGGGTTCCCATAAGAACATACAGAAACCATGCAGAAAAGGGAGTGGCATTTCCAAGATTTCAGCCAATGAGCTTACAGATGAGCATATGGGATGGCAGTGATTGGGCCACAAATGGTGGGAAAGACAAAATTGATTGGTCCAAAGGTCCCTTCATTGCCTCATTCAAAAACCACAAAATTGATGCATGCATTTGGAAAGGAAATCCCAGATTTTGCAAGGCAAATAGTCCTACAAATTGGTGGAATAATGAAAGATTTAATTCTTTGTCGTGGGCACAAAGAAGGCTATTCAGATGGGTTAGGAAATACCATCTGATCTATGATTATTGCATGGATAATAAGAGATTTCAGAATAATTTGCCGAAGGAGTGTTTACTGACCAAATACTGAAATTAATTAATTTGGATATTCGATTGCATTTATTTGTTGTAAGTTAAGAATAAATTAGAGTGAATCTTATTTGGTGAAGGGCTTATTTGTCTCGGAAGCAAAGGACACAAAAATTTCATGCTAATCGAGATTCCTGGTCAGTATGTGTACTCCTTTTTTCCCTCGAAGTCGGTCTGGGTGCAGATGGGGCCAGGGCACCTCGTGGCCAAACTGCGTAGTATGTAAAATTTGTTCAATCATGCTTAGTGTGGATTAGTCTAAATGTACTCAATCAATTACCTAATGGATTACACCCCCCTCACATGGAGGGCTCGCCCTCCATGTGAGGGGAGTGTAATCCATTAGGCAGCCCTCCATGTGAGGGGGGTGTAATCCATTAGGTAATTGATTGAGTGTACATCTAGCACAACCGGCTTAGTGTACACCAAAGCGTACTTGCCACATGGCAAGCTGTCATTTGTCAATTTTTAAAAAAAAAAATCAGTTTTTTCGCCAACAATTTTTTGAAAACAAATGCAATATCAAGCATGGAATGTACAAATTGCATTTTCCAAATTTGTTTGCTTGATCTCACACTGCCTATGATTGGGTTTCATTTTCTTTTGCAAAAAAAAAAAAAAAATACTTTTTAAAAAATGAGTGATACTCGTAATTTTTAGAAACTTCATAATTAAAATAAATATTTAACTTTAAAAATAACATATTTTTCACATTTTATTGCCTTGGACCTTTTGTTTACCTTTTCAAATTATATCAAGATTTAAATCTTATAATTACATATTCATTGAGAAAATACTTCAATTGATTTTTGAAAACATAAAGAGCTTCAATAATAATTGCCAGATATGTTTACATAAATACATAATTACTAATTATTTCTTTAGAAAATATGACCCTTTATCTAGCGAATTTTCTTTCTTATTCTTTTCTTTCCCCATTATCATGGATATAAAATATTTTTTCCTGGGGGTGGGGATCTGAAATTTTGTATATTAGTTCCAATTTTCTACGATTTTCAATAGATCAATTCTAGTATAAAGAAAAAGTATATTTTCATAAAACACGCTACAAAAAAGCAATATAAATCAAGAAAATTGGCTTTGCGCAATGCTATGTGTGAACTAGTTCATATTGAAACTTAATAAAATTTTAAACTTTATAAGCCAAGACCCTTCATATCAAATCATCAAGAAAATTATTAAATGCGGAACATATCTTAATTCATTAGGAATGATGCTTTACCTTGAATATTGATTATTGACTCTTTTGGTTTTGAGTTCTTGATCTTGATTTTGGTTTCTTACTCCATAATCTTGATTTCTTTAATCCTTATTCTTGACTTTTGATTTTTTGGTTCTTTCTCTTCAATATGCTTCCTCTTGTATTTTTGTGTTAATGGGGGACACAAAGAATGAAAATTTACATATGAATTGGGAACCATAACCCTACATATATACACAAGTATTTCGTCCATCATGAAATACAATTCTAAAGGAATCTAGTCTCTACACATAAAATCTGACCCACACTTTATTTAAATGTTTTAAACCCAACAATTTAATTCTTTATTAGATCACTTTAATTAAACTCAATTTTATGATAACCTTATACACAATTAATTACATATGTAAGCCACATAACAAATCAATAAACCCAACAAACATATATTACTTAATAAATGTGTATAATCTTATGATATCAAAACTTTTACTATCATAATCAAAAGTATCTTCGAACAATCTCATCCATTAATTATATCAATATAAGATCAAAGCAATCTTCCTTGTAGTTATCATAACTAAACCCTTAATGATCACATATATCAATACAATGAAATGACATAGATCAAGTGTGGAAGTGTAGCATGAAAATTACATGCAATGTGATCCAAACATGTTATTTTCAACTGGTCCTACCTTTTTTTTTTTAATGAAATCAATCATAAACTTTATTTATAGTGAAATTGAATTGAATACTTTATTTCTGAAAATAAACTGAATATCCATGAAAAAATAATATGTCTAAAACAAACAACATCTGAATACAAACTCCCACTAAATTAGTATATCATCAAAATATGCAACATCCATGTAAGAAGTATGCTCGTAAAAGATCTTGGGTGATAGCCCCTTAATAAGCGAATCCACAGTTATAGAATTTGTCCTAATATGGTTCATAGAAACCTAAATACTCTGAATTTTTTTTTTTTTTTTTAACAACTTGGAACTTAATCTTTAGTTCTCTATGGATATCGAATAGCCTAATTGGTTGCTTTCCAAATATACGTTTCAGAGTTACTTAAATATATGTCTAGCATTCAATCAATGAATGTCATATCTAGATTTATGCAAACCTTAGCATACATTAAACTCCCAACCACAACGAATTTTCTGTATTTTCTTTTCTTTAAGTTTATCTTTAAGGCGTTGATTGACACTAAATTTATCTCCCTTAACAATAGGATCACCTGGTTTATATTCATGCATCTTAAATCTCTTAAAAACTTTATCGATATAACTCTTTTATGATAATCCAAAAATATTCCAAGAAGGATCTCGATGTATCTATATCCTTAATACAAAAGATGTATCACCAAGAATTTTCATTTTAAAATTCCATGATGGAAATATATTGGCTTCGTGCAATAAGCATATATCATTGCATATAAGTAGTATGTTATCGACATACAATACCAAGAAAATATGCTTACTCCTATTGAACTTGTGGTATACACAATCATCAACTCTATTTACCTCAAAACCAAACAAGATAATTATTTGATGAAATTTGTGATACCTTTCACATGAAACCTACTTAAGCCCATAGATGGATTCTTTAATTTGTAAATCATCAGATGTATTTTAAGATCAAAATGTGTCACACATACCATAATAGTCTTAAAAGGGTCTTTCATAGAAATTGGAGAGAAAGCCTCTTTAATATCAATGTCTTCATTTTGAGTAAAGCCATTTGCAATAAGACGAGTTTTATATCTCTCCATNATCGTTAGAAACTCCACAGTTAAGCGTGCTTGGCTTGGAGCAATTCTATGATGGGTGACCCCCTGGGAAGTTTTCTCAGGGAGCGTGCGAGTGAGGACAAAGCATGCTGAAAAAGACCCATGTTGGTACAGTAGGGACAGTACGTCGTCGATCTAACGGCCGGGACAGCCCGTTAAGTGGGACCCGGGTCGTTACACTATTGGTTTTAAAAATCCATTTACAACCAATAGGTTTCGCACCTTCAGGCAATGTGATGAGTTCCCAAATATAATTGTCTTTCATGAACTTTATTTCTTTATTCATGGCATCAATCCACTCTTAATAATTATTCATTTCCATGGCTTGATGAAAGTTGATTGATCGGATCTTCTTTCATCAATCCAGTGCCACAATTATTTTCTTGGAGAAATACTATAAAGTCATTCGGAATTACCTTTCTCTTTTCTCTAGTGGATTTCCTTAATGAATTTTGTTCTTGAGATTGTTGAGATTGTTTTTCTAGAACAATCTCTTGATTGTATATAGGGGATTTTGTAATATTATCTTGATCCTAAATTGCTTCTTGAATAAAATCTGAAGCAAGAAATTGTCCTTAAACCTGATCATTGTCAATTGTAACAGAAGTGATATATACATATCCTTACATATCATTCCTCAAAGACAAAATCCTTAACTTTAAAACATTATCTCACACCGTAAACTCTACATTCTCAAGGAATCGGACATTTCTCGTTTCGAGAATTGACCTAATAGTAGGATCTTTAAAAAAATTGTAATCGCTTAATAGTTGCTACTTGGAACTTTATTGAGAATTTAAGATACAGTCTTTAGTGCTTCAACCTAGAGAGATTATGGAACACTGTGGGACAATTTTACATTCCTTTAGGAATTCAGCATAAGGCCCCGGACATTGTTTTCTTAATGCGTTATATGTTGTCACGGTATTTACAACTATAGTAAGATCTCACTTGTTAAATTCTTTTATTGAGTTGGTTTTCAACATCAGTCTTATAAGCCGTGAACTTATCCAGTGATTGAGATTTCTCATGGATGAGAAATAGGTAGCCACAGTGAGAAAAAAACTAGTCTATGAACATAATAAATGACTATTGACCATTCTAAGAAGCCAAAAGGAATGTCCCACATATATATGTATCAATTATTTCTAAGACGATCGAAGTTCTATTGGCACATAACCTCCTTATAATTATTTATTTTCCCTTGATCTAATTAACATAAACACTTAAGTCTAAAAAAATTAAAGGAATCAATAATTCCTTCTAACACAAAATTTTTCATTCTTTTTTGAGAGATGTGACCAAATCGCTTGTGCCACAACGAAGCGAAATTCTCATTAATTAATTTATGTTTAATACCATGTGAATTCACATGCAAGATTTTTTCATAAGATGCAATTGTATTAAGCATATATAGGTTATCATAATCGGATAAAGAACTGGCACCCACAATATTTGAATTAAGAAATAGAATAAACTAACTATTTTTACATAAATAAAAGTAACCGAATTTGTCCAATATAGAAATAGAAATTAAATTTCATCTAAAAGACGGTACCGCAAATGTCTCTTTCAAATCTAAATAATAACCCGCTATAATGATAACCTAAAAATCTCTATACCTTCAACTTTAACGGATTTTCCATCGCCCCACATAGATGAATCTTTCAGTATCGATTGGCTTTAGGTTGTTCGAGCAACCTCGTATAGACACGCTTATTTGAATAATGAAACAGTAATTTATTCACTAAGTGTGTCTAGGTATTGACACTAAATTAACATCAAAACAGACCAAAGTGAGAAGTGTACTTTTTTTTACACACTAAATGTGGTATTTAGTACAATCTCTCTTCATGTATCGCAGATTTTCAAAAAAGTAATAATTTATCATTTTTCATGCTTTTGTTGTTTCTTTTGAAATGAACCGATGCAACTTCCTTACCATTTAACTTGTCCTTAGAAGTACTTGCCAAGTGAGTAT